TGTTTTGTTTCTGGGGGGGGGGGGGGGGCAGTCCTGATTTAAGGAAGAGTAGATTTCCTTTTTCTACAAAAAGAAGAGCTTTAGCTTTATTTTATTTTATCCCTGCACATTAGATTGAAGTAAAAAGCATATAGAGTTTTTAAAGGAATTGTAACACTTGCTATGTGCATGAAAACCATTCCCATCCAATATCACTCTTATTTGGTGTTGTGCCCTTCAGTTCACCATGGAGAAAGTGTTTACACTTTTTTATTTAGGAACCTGCCTTATGCATAAGCATCTGTGTTATCTCTATCACCAGGGCCAAAGCAGAACTTACATTAATAATATTAGGTCCCCATGTAATATTAGCATTAGAAAATGTCATCACCTGAATAGTTTGATCAATTTCATTTCCACTTCCAGACTTCATTGCACTAAATGCGTCAATCAAACCATTGGCATCAAGATTATCTGAGGCATAAAAGTTTAATCCACCTAAAAAATGGATAAAGCCCCCAAAATAAAAATATTAATATTAAAACAACAATACATAAACATAAGCAGTGATCAACTACTATATTCAGTCTCGGATACAATATCTGTGCAGGGCAATAACATTTGAGATAGTGGGCCTGCTTTTCTAACAGTTATGCACATTGGCAGTGACAACAATGCCAGCATTTGGCATGCGAAGTACACAGAGATAAGTACAACTAAGGCAGCGTAAGTACGAGCAGTTTACCTATTAATGTTGTTTGCTAAACATTACCTGTTCCAGAGAGCAAATGGGCACCAGCTAAGTGGTGGTTGATCTGGAATCAAGAATATATTTTCTCTACTGTTTTTACTTCTGATCGGTCATTCACTCGGCTGCCCTCGGCAGCTTTGTGAATAGACCCCTATGTTTAACCAGTAAGTCAGTTTGCATTTGCTTTACATGTAGGAACAATGCATTATGATGTGCATAATTACTTTTTGAAGTATGTAAGATACTTACATACTTACAGTGTTCAAAACACTGTAAAAAAAGAAGCCATTGTGCATGCTTTGTAGTTGGTAAAATACTGCACATAAGCAGAGAACGTACACAATTTTATATCTTGCTACTTATGACTGCATGTTGTAATGACTAATACCGTACTTGCATTGCCTTATTTCTTGCAAGTGTAGGTTCTTTGGTGCTACTTCTTTCTTTGGCATATGAAGCTTTCAAACTATAGTGGGCATTAATGGTGCATGGAACAGGCTGCATCTCAATACAGACACAAAAATAGCCTTCTATAGAAGTTCTACAATTTAATGCTCTCTGCAAGAAGCTACTACAACACATGCATAACACCCCTTTTCCATGGGTGCTGTTGAATCCGTTCAGCAGGGGATCCGTGCACAGATCCCCTGTTGACTGGTACAATACAGAACAGATTTCACTCTTGTGACATCTGTGTCTGGAAAAAGCTGAACCAAATGGACCCATGTTAGGTCTATGGGGAGTCAAATGTAAGCGGACATGTCTCTGTTTACATCCAATAACCTCCGATCTGTCACGATCAGGTCCGCCAAAATGGAACTCTGTTCCGTTTTTTTCCAGACCTAGATAGAGTGGCGAGTAAACAGATGTAAAAGGACGTTTACATCTGGCTGCCAATAAAGTTATATTGGGTTTCTGATCAGATCCATCGAAAAAATTGACAAGTGGATCTGACTGCCCATGTGAAAGGGTGTGAGGTTCTACCAGATTAGTTAAAGAGTTTACATCCCCTAAATATGTGATCATCTGCTTGCTTGTGCAGACGCACAACAAAGGAATGACTATAGTTTAGTCCTCATTGCAGGCAGTGGTTTCAGCTGAGAGTGTTGAATCATTCAAAAAGCATTTGGACAATTTCCTCAGAGACCGTAACAGGGATACAGGTACCCTTAAAAACAAGATCACACAGGGACTTACACACACGCATACACATGCAGAATCACATGCATACACGCAATAGGTTGAACTTGATGGATTGTGTCTTTATTCAACTTCAAATACTATGTAATTATGTAACTATGTGGTAAATCAAACATTTAGTAAATCAGAGTCATTGTAATTGCTAATATTCCCTGCCTCTAGTGGCTAATCTACAAATCTCTAGATCTATGCAATAATGACATTATGAAAGAGCAAGCATGTAAAACATTGAAGTCACAATAAAAATTACTTTTAAGTTAGCACTGCAAAATAAAATTATCAAAAATTGTGCTCGCTTCAAATTTACTAAACGAACCCTTTACAGTAAAAAAAAGAAAAGTATACAAGCGTAAATACAGAAATGTAATTACACCTGCATAGATAAAGGTGTAATTACATATTATAGATAATAACACATGATATACATTCAGCCATATATCGTACATATTATCACTTTTCTATCTTAACTTTGTGAATAAAAATAAATAACTGTTAACCATTAATAATAATATTGCTAAATTCTTGCTGTGTGCATTAATAATATACAGTAGATTATTTTTTGTACGTTATATATATATAAACTAAATATATTTTTAATTAAATAATCCATGTTATAAAAAATCAAAATGTTTTTTCCACTGCATTTGTGTGAAGTAGCATATATTCTGTCCCAAATATTATTAATACTTTTATTACATTTTAAAATGAACCTATACTCCATACAACTTCTACTTTTAGTAAAAGACTTGTCTAAGAGCAGGCAATGCAAGATGTCTACTATTACCTATATTAGCCAGAAAAAAAACCTCTTCCACGCCTTTTTTATTTTGTGTTTCTTTATAAAATGTAAAGATCTAGCTAACCAATGAGTTCAATTTGTATCCAGTCAGACAGGACCATGCAAAATCTATTTGCTGGTAGATCTACAGAGACTTGGGGTACACAGACTAGATTTTCCTTATAACAGCAACAAGGTCCAATGGGAACACCAGACTTGAAGACAGGAGATCAAAACATGGAAAAAAAAACATTCCATATGTGGCTGTAATTATGAGAGGATCATGACCTTATATCACATTACTATGGGGTCTATTCACGAGGCAGCCTAAGGATCTAGCCGTAGCTTCGGCCGATCCTTCGGCTACCTTCGGCCCCAGGGCCCCTTCGGTTCAGCAGAAACCGAAGGGCTGCTGTACAGGCTATTCACTATAGCCCGTACAGCTCCCAAAGTCGGCCGGGCGGATCAGCCGAGTCGAAGGCATATGATCAACTGAGCTGATGTGACAGCCGAAGCGGCCATTGGCCGGCCGACAGCCTGCTTCTGACAGCTGGGCGGAGCCAGCCGTGATCTTATGGTTGGCTCCGGCCACTTGCAGAGAGATCAGCGTCCCTGGTTACCAGCTAACCAGGGACACTGATCTTCAGATAGCCTAACTCTCTCGGGCGCTCCGGGAGACTCCCGCTCCCGGTCATCCAGCAGAGAAACACTGTTTTTTTCTTTTGTTTGTTTTTTATTCTGACACGGAGCCGTGTTAGAATAAAAAAAAAAAATAATTTCACCATAGGAATACATTGCTAGATTCCTATTGGCTATTTCAATTTGCAATAGCCAATAGCAAACTAGCTATTGCGCCCACTCTCTGCTGCAGTTCTCCATCAGGTCCGCACTAGTGATTGACAGCAGCAGAGGGCGGGTACAATAGCCAGTTTTCTATTGGCTATTGCAAATTGCATTAGCCAATAGAAATCTAGCAATGCATTCCTATGGCCAAATTTTTTTTTTTTACAGCAGCAGAACCACCGGCCAATAGGAAACTGTTGGGCAGAGCTAGCTGTCATTGGTAGCTCTGCACAATCGTTTTTTATTTTTCTAATTTTTTAACTTCTTTTCTGTTCTGCTCGGTCCCACAGAGAGACGGAGCAGAACAGCCGAAGTGTTGCATCTTCACTGGCCTTATAATTCAGTTTTAGATTATCATATGTAAGCTCTTATAAATGAAGAGCAAATCCTCATAATTGCCCTTTTGTCAGCTTATAATGTGATTGGATCTCCATTTATCCATGTGCCTGTTTTGGTACTTTGTTAATATTGACAGTTATGATACTGGGTTATTTAAATGAATATGCATATTAATGAAGTAAGAAAAAAAGAAAACTTACCAGTTGCTTCTGTAACTTGTTCGAGTGCCGCGGCAGCACTTGGTCCTAGAGCTATCACATGAATTATTACCCCACTGCTTATTAAATTAGAATAGCAGGCAGTAGGGAAGCTTGAATCTTCTCCATCTGATAGCAAAACAAGTTCTGTACCATAAGATGACTTATCCTGGGTTCCTTTATTTACCTGGAAGTTATTAAATATGAGAAATTCAAAACATTCCAAGAATTACTATAGAGTTCTGATGTATTCCTTACCATTGTTTAGTCAGGCCTGTGGACAGTAGGGCATCTATTACATCCTATACATCTTTAAGGCTTTGATTAGAGTAGACCAGTGGCTGTGTTATCTAACCATGCCATAGGTGTACTTCTAGCAAAGTGATATACCTTTAAACTGTTTTATACTGTTCAGGCAGAGGGCACAGAGCATACTGTTAGCTTACCTATTCTAGCAGTGGTCAAAGTATCTGTGCCCTGCTAGTATACATGTCTCTGTCACACAGAATGGGTGGTATTAGGTGATTTTCATTAGCGTGTAGTTTGCTTCATGCATTGCCCTCAAATGATGCCACCTGCATGATAATGAAGAGGACAATGAGGTGTATGTCTCCGGCAACCAGGCTGCTGATAATGAAAATGCATGATGCTGAATGTTATCCAGACTGGATGTCCGTCAGTGGAAATAGGCCTAATTGAAGCTTTGGGAAGACAAGGAGAGCAGCCCAGTGGCATGCTGAAAACAAAGTTAATTCTAAGAGCCTTGCATCTTCAAAAACATTATCAAACAAATTGGAAATGGAATCTCGTGTATTTCCAAGATGACACAGTTCATGATACAAATTCAATTCAGTTTCCCCGAACTGCGAACACAAAGTTCAGGTTGAAATCTACCTCGACCTGAATTTGAACCGCATCCCTATTATAAGTAAAAAACTTTAACTTTAGTACTTGTTTAGTGTATGAAATGTGCCAAGCATTTTTAACCCCTTCGTGACTGACGACGTGGAATATAACATGGGTGCAAAAAATGAAAAAAGGGCCTCAGTCATGAAGGGGTTAAATAAGAAAAAAACCTCTATTTTTTTGGCATTTGTGATGGAAATTATGTTGCCTTCAGTTTTCTGAATGTCAAGATGTATTCCATAGTATTTTATTGCCTCTAATTCCCCCACCTCCTGGTCACTAGAAACCTCAAACATTTTTCTAATGTTGGGGTCACATGACTGTGTAAACTCCTTTTACCACCTACTTAGGGCAGAAGGAGGAGTGTAGTAATGCACATGTCATACAATAGTGACTGATAGACGAACTACATCTAGAATTCAGCTTTGTAGCAAAACTTTAGTGCACATTTTAAAATTTGAAAGGAGGAAGGTTTTTGTATTGCAGAAGAGACATACTATGACTGCAATAAAGGATCTTACCCTCCGCCTCACAAACTTATGAAATGTGTTAACAGACAGGGTAGAATTTCCCAAATAGCTTATCAGTGTGTTGGGATTACACAGTTGCTGGTCACACAGAAGGGTTAATTTATAAAAGTTCCGCCCTGCTATACATTGACACAACATTAGCGCCCCAAGATGTCGCTGAGGAGTATGAGAAATTCCTACCTTCATAAGCGCCATCTAGTGCAAACAGTATCTTGTGTGGGACTTTTATAAATTAACCATAGTATGCAGGTTTGCCAGTAGGTGTTCATTTCAAGTATCTGACAAATTTTGCATGCATTTTTTTATTTCCTTTACGTATTTATTTATTTATTTTTTCAGCGCTGTGTGAGTACCCAAGTTATCTTGAGATATAGCTTAACTCATATGTTATACACATCCTGTTGCATTATTTGTTCCACTTAGATCTAGAACATTTTTACTTGCAATGTCAATGCCTTTAGATATTATAACATTTTATACTAATTTCCTATCAAGCTTGCACGTGCATTTTTTATATGGCACCAACATTTAATGGAGGGACTTCCAGAGTGCACAGAATCATTTGCATCAGTACATGTCTCTGAAGGAGCTCACTGTCTACTAACCATACTCTCTACAGTCAATTTGGTCAGATAGGTAAATTAACTTACTAATATGTTTCTGATAGAAAACTAGAACACCCAATGGAAACTCTGCACAGGGAGAGAACATTCAAACTCCATGCAACTAGTGTCCATGCTGTGGCTTGGAAATGCTAACCAATCAGGCATCAATAACCGCACTTTAGGCAATCAAAACAAGAGTTCTTTAAAAAAGGATTCAAATTTTTTACATATGTGCCTGACTTTCAAAATGTTGCAAAAGATTTGCAACTTATTATTATTAATATTATTATTTTTTATTATTTGGGCAGCACAGTGACGCAGTATTGTTTAGCGCTTCTGTCTTGCAGCACTGGGGTCCCTGGTTTGAATCCCAGCCAGGTAACTATCTGCAAGGAGTTTGCATGTTCTCCCTGTGCTTGTGTGGGTTTCCTCCGGGTACTCTGGTTTTCTGCCACACTCAAAAGACATGCTGGTAGGTTAATTGGCTCCTGTCTAAATTGGCCCTGTATGTGAGATGGGGACCTTAGATTGTAAGCTCCTTGAGGGCAGAGACTGATGTGAATGTGCAACTATGTAAAGCGCTGTGTAAATTGCTTGCGCTATATAAATACCTGTAATAAAATAAATAAATAAATATTAAAAAAGCAACTTACATCAATTCCCTTCATTAGTCCAGAACAAATATTTGTTCCTCCACCTGCTGTCCGAGGAAGAAGTGCTTTAAGTTGGTTTCGTTGCTGATCACCAATTACTTGAACTAATGAAGAAAGTACTGTAGCCCCACTTTCAAATTTAACAATTCCAACATATGATCCTTGTTCTACAATCTGAATGAGAAATACTTCTGCAGCCTGGTACAGCCTTCCAATGCGATTAGCCTGTAATTAATAAGTTAGTATTAATCCAATATTTATGTTTCTTCCTACATAGAAGCATGCATACTATACATACACTGGGATCTGTTTAGCACTAGTTAGCAAACTCTCCAGTATGCTTTTCAGTTGTAGGAGGAAACCTGATAACCTGGAAAAATTCCATTCACACATGAAGCAGACATACAGTACAAACCCCAGATAGCTTCCTGAGATGAATCAACCCTAAGGCCCCAGTAATGTAAAGCAACATTTCAAACTAATATTCTCTTGCTGCATTCTATATTGATTTTAAGCTAATACTTGTTCAGGATCATATCAATAAAAATCTAAATGTACACAGATTATCCTAATAAATAAAAGTTTCTTACACCGCCCATGCTTCCTGAGACATCAAGTACTAGAGTCACCACTCGGTCTGAAGCCTGCAGCAATGAGAAGGTGGGTACAGGAATTGTGGCAGTTGCTGGTGGTGTGGAAATAATATCAGTGGAGCTCTTGATCACATCCCATGTACTGCGGTAGTTGCACATCCTGTTCTGTAAATTTGGTGCCTCTGCATTATGATTAGTGCCGTCACAAAATGCAGTTACCTAAAAAATATGAATGGATATCAAATTACTATGAAAAACCTCACTAACATTATGTGCATACAAACTGAAAACATACTATAACACCACCATGACTAAAGAAAAAAATTTGATGTGGTTACTAACAGTTCTGAGTCCTTCAGCAGTCCCCAACATGAATAGTTATCAATGATTGTTGTAATACTGTGACACAATAACAAATCCAGACTCCTGTGGGTTATCATTTTTTTCACCCGAGATTCACCTAACGTTTACCCAAGATTTACATATTTTTCTAACTGAATCTTAGGTCAAAAACATGTAAATCTTGGGAACACTTTGTGTAAATCATGGGTGAAAACAACAAAAAGACCAATCCAATGTCTTCTGAAATAATGCATAATAAGCAATCCTTTAGACTTACAATGAGCTATAACAGCTCTAGACTTTTTCTTACAGAGGGGAATGGCTTGAAATTGTTTTAGGTTTTTATTGTTTTCTTTGTCAGACAGAAAAGGAAGGTTTTAGACAGAAAAGGAAGTAATTGGAAATGTCACCAATGGGGACACAGGAAGCAATATAATCCTGTAAGAGTTTCAAACTCTTCCTCATTCTGCCCAGAACCAAATCTAATCTGTGGTTGATAGTTGATATATTGAGAATCACTGTTTTGGTAAATCCTAACTGAACAGGTGTAATTGGCATTCTATTTGTCAGCATGTATCGGAAGGCGAACAACAGCCGATTAGCATATCAGCAGCAGTCTGAAAACCAGGAAACAAATACAAAATCATATACTACATATGATAACTTAACAACAGCACCTTCATTGTGTTATATGTATAGATTATCAAAAATTGGTATTATAATGAATATTAGTGTATAAAGCATTCTTACAGCATAACAAAACATGAACCATGGCCTTTCATCCTCCAAGAGGCTTCAGCTGCTTGACAAAGGGTAACTTTCCCAAAAATGTGTTGACTAGTAAACAACATACACAGGAAGTGAGAAGTGGATCTTTAGCAGTTCGGTTGGTTAGCTTCGCAGTTAGCTGAGCTGCGGAGTGGACCATGCGGCAGAATTAAGTATACAGAATGCTATTACCATCCACCTAGGACTGTAAAAAAGGAAGTCCAGGATTCCAGCATAGAGGAATGCCACTGGCTATGGTATTGATTGCTCTAAAGGACTCACTGTTTTGTTTTTATGTTTTCTCTTGTTTTTATGTTTTTCATTACATTTCATAGAGAAGAGAATAGGTTATCTACTCCTGTCTTTCTGACCCACATTACAGCCTAACTAATGTCACAACAATCACAGGTATCAGACAACAATCAGCTAATTTCTTTAAGTATGACACTGGTATGTAATATACTACTGTATATGACATGTTACATGGAATAACTATAATTATACTGCACTGCTGATTATAGCCATTTTAATACCTTGCCAAGACATACTTACATCACTCAGTGCCTGTAAATACATTATAGATTCTTTAGAAGCTTGACTTTTATCAGGTAGAAAAGCACAGCTGTCGTCATATAGTCCAGTATTTCCATTAATGTTGCAATTACATTTGGCACCGGTACATTTTTCTTCCTGGTAAATACCATTAAGTCCAACTGGACATCTGTTAAAGACATAGCAAGAAAAGTAAAGAACTGAGTTGTACCCAAATGGAGCCATTTTTGAGAAGAATAGCAATTCTTGTCTACAAGTGATGTTCTGTTTCTAGCAGGATCTCACTAGTACTCAATTTATTGCAGAGTGTATGTATGGTCACAAGTTGTTTTTAGTTTTGGATGAAGTGTGGAAGGTTTGGATCCTCCCCACTGGGGGAATTCACTCTCTCTCTATTTGCCTTGTTGACCACCACCCCTAGGACAGAAAGTGATGAAGATATCCAAAGTTTTACAGTTGTCACTGTACTATGAAGAGGGGATAATCTTCCAATGGGGATATCTGTTCTAGTCATGACTGTTTACGAGGGATTTCTTCCTACTTTGGAGAGATTCCCAGTCACCTCCTGGCTTTTTAAATAGGCAAGAATGCTGTAAAAGGAAAATCTCTTTACGCACACAAATAAAACACAGCATTAACCATTTTATGCTTTTCTTCTCCAAAAAATAAACTTTTACCTATAGTCTGGCTATAGATACAAATTTGCAGGAGGGCATTGGTCCGGTTGTAGCATGTGGCTAGAATTCTGCTTTAAATCAATCTTTGCGGAATTCGTTAATGGTTTCTAAGGCAAACTATCAAATCCCTTCGGTTAGTCTTAAAAATATGCAGTGTGTGCATATACAGAGGGATAAATGGAGATTATATATTTGATGATTGATAAATACTGCAGAACATGTACCTTGTAGCTTCTATTGTAAGACCACTTGAAATGTAGAAGGGAACATCATTATTGTATTCATCAAAGACGCCCCACCTCAAATGAGCCCATTCATGAACGAATACTCTTCCTGCAAAGAGAACAGGGATGAAATATGAGAACCACTATTTCAATTTGCCCATAACCTTACTTATCTTCATTCACCTTGTGGTAAACTTGACCCTTCCAAACTAATTCTTTGAGTACCCACTTGCCCCCCGGTGAGAATAGAAGCAGGAGATAGTTGGGGCCAGGTGAGGTATGGAAGTTGTCTTATGCTGTTCCGGGTGTATACTATTTGTATGCTGTGTGAAATTTGCACTTACCTAATGTTAACAGTGTCCATGCATAGATGCAAAAAACAAAAAGCAAATAGTTTGCAAAGGTACTACATTCATTATTTCAGGTTAAAGGAAACCTGTAATGAAGATATATGGGTTTGCCTTTCCTGACCTTACCTTTTGAAAGTACTAGTTCCCTGGCCATCATACCGATAAACTAATTTCAATACTTTTTGAGTTACTGACCTGGAACAAATATGTACATAACTTATGACCTCAATGGCTACATCCTTGTTCCAGGCCAGAGATTCAAATTGTATTAAAGCCACAGACAGCCAGAAAACTACCATTTACAAAAGGAGGTCAGCAATTAATTCCTTCATATTTCTTTTAGTACTGGTTACCCTTAAAGTGCAACTGAAGCCAAAACTTTTTTTTAGTATTAGATTTAGAGTGGAGAAGGTTTAGACCACCTGTTAGATTTGTATTGCTGTCACCCTCTCTACTGGTGAATCTAAGATTCGGGGTTATCATAAGAACATGAATAGATGGTAAATCTTCCAATAAGGACACTAGTTCTGGTGACCCTGCTGACCAGCTAGGATTTCCCTCACTTTGGGGAGGATTTGCTTTTCACTTCTTCTAATGAGACAGTGAAGGTAAATCTCCCCAATGGGAAACAGATAAAAAAAACTGACAGGGGTTACAACCCTCTACTCTATTCAAAACTTTAAAAAAATTGCTTTAAGGTATATCTATATGCAAAATAAAAAAATACAAATATGTTAAAGCATGTGAAAAGAATTTACAATTTAAAAATCTTCATCAGAATCAAAAGTATTTATTTAAGCTATCCATCACACATGATAACACAGAGATCCCATGCAAGGGCAACCGCTTATGCATTTCACTGCTTAGGCTTATTAAGAGTAGGCCTAAGCGGTGAAAAGTGTAAGAGTTTGCCCTTGCATGGGATCTCTGTGTTACCATGTGTGATGGATATCACAAATAAATACCGTTAATTCTGATGAAGATTCACGGACTGAGGATGTTTATGTGGAGCTATTCTAGGCAACAGTGAGCCTTTTGTCTAGCACCTATGGGATTGTGCTGTTTAGCCAGGGCTTGGAATTTTGGAGCAGCGGGTTTCTTTACTTTTAAGAGTGCCAGAGCGTGTTTAATATTTTTTGAATCGCTATCTGGATTTGTAAATCTTCAATTGTTGATATTCTTGTAGAACAGAGCAAGTCTGGGGACCCCCCAAAATTCTAAAAAAAGCACTCTACCACAGGACTAGGCAACTTTTGCACTCCAGATGTGGTGAAGCTACAAACCGCACCATGCCTCTGCCTCTGGAAATGATGCATGTGGCTGGCTATAAGATGCTTCTCACTGTCATTACAAGTAGCCATTGTTGATGAAGGTTGATGAATAATGACTTCCTTTTTGTAGAGAAAAGGTATCGGGTATCGCGCCTTTCCTATACAAGTGCTGAAATTAAACAGCAGTGAAAAGGTGACAGGGACTGTTTTGTGGCAGCAATGGACAGATCTATTGCTTCCCAAAGCTGGTCTCAAAGTCTATAAATCCAATAACACCTAACAAGTAATCTGACTGTGATACATGGCCACAACAACAAATGTAGCTGTCTTCTGAAGCTTTTATATCATTGCACATTGGACCTTTTATCACAGCCTTAATAGTTATTTTGCAAGACACTACAAAGGTCAATGATATTCATCAATTAAACAGGTTTCAGTTTTCAGCCAGTTAAGATTCTTAGAACACTGAACATTTTTTTAATGCTGTGCAAATAATTTGTGATAGATTAATAAGTATTGAATTGTTACCTCGTGCTCCGTATACAGAGATCAGTTTGTTATCTATTAAGAACTCAGGGGTGAAATGAATGTATCGGCCTTTTTCGCCACACTGTCCATATTGTAATGTGTATGGGTCATCTCCATAACTCACGTGTCGTGCAGCAATGAGAACATCTGCCTAATGATAAAGAGACAATGGTTATATTAAAAAAAAGTTACAATCCGCATACCTACATAAGTGAAATGTAAAGAGACTTTCCACGCATTAAAGCCCACCCCCGCCCCATTTATACTGACACTCCCCACACACCCCCTGCCACTTCGTTCCTTCATCAGGGTTGCTGTAGATAATTCAGTGCTTCCAAGTATGTGACCGCATGTGACCTCCTCCCATAATGCAGTGCTGGGACCTGAATAGCCAATAGCCAGCATTGAACAGTGTCTCATGAGGGAGGCGTCATATCATAAACCTTGAACATCGTCCAAGTTGGAGCTTACACACTTGTGGAAGAAAAGAGCAGCAGATAAGCACAAGTGAAGGTGAATAGAAGTGGATCGGAGTCTCTGAGATTCTTTGCATTCTTTGAGTTGCATTTTCAGAGCACAGCAGGATGCACCCAGAGAGCCTTTAAAGTGACACTAAACTCAGGAGTTAAATCTTAAATTTGCATTCAAGTACCTTAACTATTAACAAAAATGTATCTTATTTGTGTATAATTCAGCTGTAGATCCTCAAATCATCTCTGAATTCATGCTGACACTTTTCTTCCTTCTGGAGGGTGGTATGTTTGTTATTCATGGTCCCTGTGTGTGTTGTAAAGTAGCCACTGCTTCAAGCTCACTCCTGTGGTGGACTGTAATCTCATGTTCAGTTTAATAATTTGTATTGAGATTGTAGTCCATCACAGGAGTGAGCTTGGAGTGGTGGCTACTTTACGACACCCACAGGGACCAAGGGGAACAAAAGTAGCCCCCCTCCAGAAGGAATGACAATGTCAGCACCAGTTCATAGATGATTTGAGGATCTATAGCTGAATTGGTGCTGACACTGTCCTTCTTTCTGGAGGGTGGCTATTTTTGTTCCCCATGGTCCCTGTGTGTGTTGTAAAGTAGCCACCACTCCAAGCTCACTCCCGTGATGGACTACAATCTCAATACAAATTATTAAACTAAATATGAGATTGAAGTCTATCACAGAAGGGAGCTTGGAGTGGTGGCTACTTTACAACAAACACAAGGACCATGGGGATCAAAAGTAGCCACCCTCTAGCAGGAAGGAAAGTGTCACCATGAATTCAGAGATGACTTGAGGATTTACAGCTGAATTGGTTAAGGTACTTGAATGCATTTTTAAGATTTAACTTCTGAGCGTAGTGCCAATATAAGGTGATATACTAGGCAAGGAACATTTACAAAGCACATTGTTTACTCCTTCAATGTAATGCATTAAGTAGAATTGCTATTTAAAATGCTTTTCTACAAAATAGCAAAAGGAGTGATTCACTAAAGAGTATATGCCTTGGCAGACAAACCGCCTCCTGAATGGCGGGCAGCCACTGCTTCACTGCCCTCTGAAGAGTGATCCACTGTGGATTGTTTTTCAGAGGGTGGTGGAGACTGCAACCAATGTGAATGAAGCCTAAGTGAAGGACCCCTTTACATTATTATATTCATCATAATAAAATCTATTTCCGTATGTGTTAAATCCCCAAACATTCTCACCTTATCATATGTTTCTGTTCTAACTTTTTCATATGTTTTCTTTGACCAGGTAAATGGTATTAATATTTTTGCACTCCGTATGAACAGCCTGTTTTGTGTTGCTTGGAATAAATAATTTGATGCATCGTTAATCATGTCCTTGAAAGAAAGAAAAATATATATATATATATATTATTGTCATTGTAAATAGACACACAGTTCAAACTAGTAAATAAACAATATTTATATGCAGTCTATAGCTTTGTGGATTATTGGGAGTTCTATGTATGGCTCCTTGAGCTGGTTGATTGCTGTATTTTCCAATCACATTTTATCAATAACCTAGATCTCCAAGACACTATCAACTGAACTGGACTATGGACAGATGTCTTACTCATTTAAAGAATCCAGCCATAAAACAAAACATGATGATTGCCTAATGTTCAGTCGGACATGGCTGTTGTAAAAATTAATGTTTAAAGGTCATAAAGAATCATGTTTAATACAAGATAATGTATTCCTAACCCTTGTATGTATCTAAATTGAGTATTTATTTATTTAGCTATAAAAATTGGATTACAACAATGGAGTTCTACATAAAAAGTCCACCTGGGATGTCAGTGCTGATGATGGGCTTACAGACGACTATAAATAGGGATTTTGATTGGGTGATATCAATTAGTTTACCTAATAATCTTGTGTTCTCCTGATACACGCATATTCTCTTATATACATGCCTCTGTAATGATGCAGCACTTGCTACAGATCGAATAGGAATTGCTAGAAAATTCCAAACCTAGTTGGCTCAGAGATCAGCAACAGTCCAGTCAAATGATAAATATGTACTTCACCTAATATACATAACCACTATTCTGTGCATGTTACAAATTCTTCCCATTAGACCTCATTGGCAGTGAAGCTGGGCATTGAATACAATAAAGAAATTCTCCAGTCTGCCAGAATTCAAAGGCTAGAAGTTGCAATTTATTCTAGCAAATACATGTGAGATTGTAACAAACTCTACATTTCCATATCATGGGGCAACCTCTGGATGTCTAGCACTAAGCCTTTGGTCCTTTTTTTACATGGGTGCCATCCATTCTGATCAGCAGAGAGATCTGTGCACCGATTCCCTGCTGATCGGAGAACAGAACAGATGTCACTCTTTTGACATCCATGTTCATTCAGTTTTATCCTCCATCTTGTGCTGTACAGACCCATGTAGGGTCTATGGGGGTTGGATGTAAGATGACGTGTGTCCGTTTACATCTGCTTACCTCCTATCTATTATGATCGGGTCTGCCAACCTAGTCCATTTACATTAGGCTGCCCATAGAGTTACACTGGGCTTCCAACCAAGAAGCCTGGCTAAAAAAACTGACAGTTAGATCTGATCGAACTGCCCATGTGAAAGGGCCCTTTGTGTTTAAAATGTGTGCTACTAGATTGTAAGCTCTCATGAGCAGGGCCCTCCTAATCCTAATGTACTGAAATCATATTGTAACTGTACTGTCTCCCCCATTTTGTAAAGCCCTGCAAAAACTGTTAGTGTTATATAACTCCTGTATAATAATAATAACAATTTAATTTGTAACAATCCATAGATGATTTCAATATTCTCTAAAACGACAGAAAACATTTCTGTTAGCTATTAATATCACCGTTTCTGTCTAGAGAAAGGACTCGATCCACAAAGCTAAAACACCCGGCTAAGGATCCTTGTTTTCAAAAAAAGTGACAGTTATTTTCAGATGATTCTAATGAGATTTGAAAATTACAGTCACATGGCTAAAAATAAAGATTCTTATCCCTGTGTAAAGCTTCATGAATTGAGCTCAAAGCCTGATTTACAAGTATGCCCGCTCTGTTAAGACTGTAGCGTTTTATTGTTTGTTTGTCATCTGAAAAGCTAGGCCGTTTCTAAACAAGTCTTTGTTGTATTATCTGATCCTGGATGTAAAAAAAGGAAATTAAAATAAATGTGGACAAAGGAGGATGGCCCCTCAAAAGCATTATGCATTTGTTGTGTAGATTTCACTTTATGTATTAAAACTTCAACTTTCTTTATTTGTAAGTAACTCTGAATATTTAAGTTTAAACTTTTTAATAGCTCTGACAATCTTCTTCCAAATCCCACTTCTGCATGAGTAAACCAAGATTAATTGTTGTCCATGTTGTGAACAGACACGGCGGCTATCAGCCCACCCTACTATACAGGTTGCTATATAAATTCTAGTAATTTTTTTTTACCTGTTAAATATATAATATTTTTAATATTTTAATATAAGAAATGCTATAGTAAAACATTTTTGAAAATGTGTTTTGTATTTGCATGTGATGTTTCATCATCAAATTCTAATCATCAGTAATGATATGGATGGATAAACTACATTGCTAATTTATATACGGTACTTATAATCAATAAATGAAAGACAGATACACAGATAAATAGATACAGTACAAACCCATCTTAACAAAAGTTACCTTTATGCTGTCAATAATTTTTGCATTTTCAGGGATTCCAGGATTGATTGCAAAGACTATATCTTCGTAGCCTCCATTGTTAAGTTTCACTAGGGAACCACTACCGAAGGAAAGAGCCTGAGATAGTAAAAGCAAAGATAAAACACTGCAGAGTGTCATCTTAACCAGCTACTCACAACTACTGTTCGTGGATGTATTTTTATACCCTATATATAATTTGTGCTATCAGGCAACCTGAATGGACTTTAATATCGGATGCTGACTTTTTTCTTTGTTTATGTTATCTTTTCTTTTGCAATGCAAAAAAATTTTCAGTTTATTACTCATTATATCTTGACATAGACAAGTGCTGCAATAAGGAAACAACAAGGGTAATACAAATGAGGATGATTATTTCAATAACTGCTAAAAAATAAAGATTTATCTGTGCTTTTAGTTAGTCATTAAAGTACATCTAAACTCAAAACTTTTTTATTTTTATAATTTTCGATAAAGCATTGAACGGTCAGCAAACCTATCTTTTTTTTTTGCTGTCTATGTCACCGAGGCTGGAAGTTAGGGTAAAGGTACAAGAACAGGGGAAATCTTCCAATGAGGACTCTTGTTCTTCTGACAACTATCTAATAATTGGTTTCCCTCACCAGGGAGATTTGTCTCACTTTTACACAAATAAGTGTCACGCTCCCAAGAATGTTTTTTAAAGGGTTTGTTATTTTGTAATGTTGCCCTTAAAGCCGCATGAACAGACCTTCTACCCAATGTATGTTTTTTGTTTTTTTTTGCATAGGTACGTGTTCCCTGTGACAGTACCCAGCTCTTCAGTGCTTTTTTGACAGTAGTTTGCCTATTAGCCCTAAAAATGGCAAGAATTTAACAACACAATTGCCTCCCTTCCTACCTATACACTTTAATAAGATCTATGGGATTCAGATCTGGACTCATTGCTGGCCAGTCCAGTACTCTCCAGCGCTTTGTCTGAAACCATTTTTAGGTGCTTTTTGGTGTGTGCTTTGGGTCATTGTCCTGCTGTAAGACCCATGACCTCTGATGGACACCGGGCCCTACATTGCAGCTCAGAATTCATTGGTAGTCTTCAAATTTCATAATGCCATGCACACAGTCAAGACACCCAGTGCCTGAAGCAGCAAAGCAACCCCAAAACATCAGTGAACCTCCACCATGTTTGACTGTAGGGACTGTATTTATTTCTTTAAAGGCCTCATTTCTTTTTCTGAAAACAGTAGAATGATGGGCTTTACCAAAAAGCTGTAATTTTGTTTTTTTTATCCACAGCACATTCTCCCTAAAGGATTTTGGCTTCCTCAGGTAAGTTTTGGCAAACTCCAAATCTTTTTTATATTCTGTGTCAGCAGTTGGGTCCTCCTGGGTCTCCTACCATTGCATCACATTTCATTCAGATGGCAAAGTATAGTGCGAGCTGACACAGTTGTACCCTGTGCCTGAAGGTTTACTTGAATTTGTCTGGAAGTTGATCGAGGGTCATTATCCACTATTCAATCGTTTGTTGCAATCTTTGATCAATTGTTCTCTCTCGCCCACGTCCAGGGAGATTAGCTACAGTGCCATGGGCTGTAAACATCTTGACAATGTTGCAGACAGTGGATACAGAAACATTAGGATCTCTGGAGATGGACTTGTAAACTTGAGATTGTCCATGCTTCTCCCCAAAAACTTGGAATGCAATTATTTCTTGCAATTTGGAGAAGGTGCCAATGATTTTGTCCAGTCCATTTTTTGGAGTTTTTTGCGAGAAACGTTTCAGATTTGGCCTTTTTTTTTTTCTAACTTTTTTGTGTCATACCAATACAAACAAAAGATTTAACTCCTGAGTTTAGTGTCACTTTAAACTGTCCTTGTAAATTTATGTAGGTGCAGCTAAGCAGAAGATAGGGTAGCACAGCATCAACATATGATTAGAAAAAGATTTCTTGCCTCTCTGGTATCTAAGCATTTATCTGAATGCAATCATTCTGAGACAGATCTAAGATTTAAAGTATTGAATGACATCCCACATATAAGAAGAGGGGGAGATAGGGTATTGATGCCGAAGGAGCATGAGATATGGTGGGTTAATAGATTAGGGACATTGGGTCCTACAGGTTTAAAAGATTATAATGTTTGTCTGTATTTGTAACTACTGAGCAATGAGTAATGTGATAGATACTGGACTGTCAGAACCATTCATCCTCTAGAGATATGTATTTTTTTTTCCAGTTGCCTTGACTTCCATAAGTCCAGTTGCCTTGATTTATTTTTTACAGCCTTGACCTGGATGAATGAGAACATTCACAGACACAATGCTAAAAAAAGCCTTTGTAATTATAGTAGTATGACCCAGAGTGTGCCAGGGGGGAAATGTGTACATGTTTACCGTCTATAGCACCAACACAGTTTGGGAAGTTCCAGTAATCTAAAAATTGTTGTGCGACCGCTTGCCATTCTGCTTCATCCTGGGAAAACTGAAATTAAAAAAACAATTGTTAATTACTTGTTGTGAATGTCACATAACCAACTTTATCCCTTATTGTTTACACAGAATTCCACAGTTCAAGAAGCACATCCTACACCAGCTCTACAAGGACCTAGATCTAGCAAGAAAAGGAAAAATTCAGGTGATGCAACAACATAATTTCTAACACATGGTGCAAAGAAAAAACGATGACTGTGATCACTTTGCAGCCTTTGCCACTAACAAACTTAAAAATGACTGAAGAGCAAAAAATTTGTTGTTGCAGGTGCTTACAAGGGGTCTGCAAGAGGATATAACCAAAAACACTATTTTTTTTTTTTTTTTTTTTTT